CACTGTATCTTTATTTCCTTCCACAGGTCTTGGTTTCACAAGCACCATCACCCACAGTATAGGATTGCATTGTCCATGAAACTGGGAGGAGGGCTTGTTCGGCCTTTTTTTGTTACCAGAAGCATCTTCATGAATCTCTGTCAGCCTGCGTGGGCGCGTGTGGGCGCCAAAAGAAGGTTAACTGGTGGGGGTCAAAGATACTTTGTGTAAGAGTGTGTGCGTACTTTTGTCCAATGGCCAGCCCCATGTCAGATATACTTTTGCCCAGGACGCAAGACGTATCACAAAAGGTTGGGTGCTGTGGGTCACTCATGGGCTTCATGGGTTTCGCGAGCGGTGCCAGTGCAATACCAGCGCGACCAACTCACTTCTAGCTCGGACAGTAATGGATGAGACCACGTTGCAAAGGTCTTCGGCCCCCAAGGTTTGAGTCGGGTCCGGATTGGGGCTTGGCAGGTCATGATCAGCGGGCCGGATTCTCTTTGCAAGATGGCAGCGCTAAGCTTCATAGACATGGGAAAGCAGGACTGCACCGACAACGAAGCAGGGTTAGTTGTGAATTTTGAGCGTATGGATATGGGCTTTATGTTGCTGTAGCTGCCAGTATATTGGCAAGGTGCTGGCGGTGCTGGCGGTTCCTCGTGATGCTGCTGTTGTTGTTGTTGTTGTTGTTGTTGTTGTTGTTGTTGTTGGTGGCGGTGGTGGTGGTGGTGCTTGCGTTTGTCGTTGATGTCGTTGTCGTTGTCGTCGTCGTTGTCGCTGTTGTCGTCGGTTGTTGGTTGTTGGTTGTTGGTTACTGGTTGTTGGTTGTTGGTTGTTGGTTTGTGGTTTGTGGTTTGTGGTTGTTGTTTGTTGTTTGTTGTTTGCTGTTTGTTTTTGTTTTTGTTTTTGTTGTTTGTTGTTTGTTGTTTGTCGTTTGTTGTTTGTGGTTTGTCTGTTGTTTGTTGTCTGTTGTGTGTTGTGTGTTGTGTGTTGTGTGCTGTTTGTTGTTTGTTGTTTGTTGTTTGTTGTTTGTTGATTGTTGTTTGTTGTTTGTTGTGTGTTGTGTGTTGTGTGTTGTGTGTTGTGTGTTGTGTGTTGTTTGTTGTTTGTTGTTTGTTGTTTGTTGTGTGTTGTGTGTTGTTTGTTGTTTGTTGTTTGTTGTTTGTTGTTGGTTGTTGTGTGTTGTTTGTTGTTTGTTGGTTGTTGGTTGTTGGTTGTTGTTTGTTGTTTGTTGTTTGTTGTTTGTTGTTCGTTGATTGTTGATTGTTGATTGATTGATTGGTTGATTGATTGATTGATTCATTCATTCATTCATTCATTCATTCATTCATTCATTCATTCATTCATTGATTGTTGTGGTTGTTGTTGTTGTTGTTGTTGTTGTTGTTGTTGTTGTTGTTGTTGTTGTTGGTTTGTTGTTGTTGTTGGTGGTGGTGGTGTTGTTGTTGTTGTTGTTGTTGTGGTTGTTGGTTGTTGGTTGTTGGTTGTTGGTTGTTGGTTGTTGGTTGTTGTTTGGTGTTTGTTGTTTGTCGTTTGTTGTTTGTTTGTTGTTTGTTGTTTGTTGTTTGTTGATTGGTGTTGTTTGTTTGTTGTTTGTTATTTGTTGTTTGTTGATTGTTGTTTGTTGTTTGTTGCTTGTTGTTGTTGTTGTTGTTGTTGTTGTTGTTGTTGTTGTTGGTTTGTTGTTATTGTTGGTTTGTTGTTGTTGTTGGTTTGTTATTGTTGTTGTTTTGTTGTTGTTGGTTTGTTGTTGTTGTTGGTTTGTGGTTGTTGTTGTTGTTGTTGTTGCTTGTTTGTTGGTTGTTGTTTGTTGTTTGTTGTTTGTTTTTTGTTGGTTGTTGGTTGTTGGTTGTTGTTTGGTGTTTGTTTGTTGTTTTTTGTTGTTTGTTGATTGTTGATTGTTGATTGTTGGTTGTTGATTGTTGGTTGTTGACTGTTGTTGTTGTTGTTGTTGTTGTTGTTGTTGTTGTTGTTGTTGTTGTTGTTGTTGTGGTTGTTGGTTGTTGGTTGTTGGTTGTTGGTTGTTGTTGTTGCTGTTACTGTTACTGTTACTGTTGTTGTTGTTGGTGTTGGTGTTGTTGTTGTTGTGGTTGTTGTTGTTGTTGTTGGTGGTGGTGGTGTTTTTGTTGGTGTGGGTGTTGGTGTTGGTGTGGGTGTTGGTGTTGGTGTTGGTGTTGGTGTGATTGATATTATTACTGTTGTTAATATTACTGTTATTATTAGTGTTATCAGTGTTGGTGTTGTTGGTGTTGTTGTTGTAGTTCGTAGTTTGTAGTTGTTGGTTGTTGTTAATTGTTATTGGTTGTTGTTGGTTGTTGTTGGTTGTTATTGTTGTTGGTGGTGGTGGTGTTGGTGCTGTTGTTGTTGTTGCTGCTGCTGTTGCTGTTGCTGTTGTCGTTGTTGTTGTTGTTGTAGTTGCTGTGCTGGATGTTGTCGTCGTTGTCAATGTCGATGTCGTCGTTGTTCTTATTGTTCTTGTTGTTGGTGGTGGTGGTTGGTGGTTGTTGGCGGTTGGTTGGTTGGTTGGTTGGTTGGTTGGTTGGTTGGTTGGTTGGTTGGTTGGTTGGTTGGTTGGTTGGTTGGTTGGTTGGTTGGTTGGTTGGTGGCTTGGTTGGTTGGTTGGTTGGTTGGTTGGTTGGTTGGTTGGTTGGTTGGTTGGTTGGTTGGTTGGTTGGTTGGTTGGTTGGTTGGTTGGTTGTTGTCGTCGTGCGTTGTTGTTGCCGTTGTCGTTGTTGCTGTTGTCGTCCTCGTCGTTGTCGTCATGGTGGTGGTTGTGGTTGTGGTTGTGGTTGTGGTTGTTGTTGTTGGTGGTGGTGGTGGTGCTGTTGTTGTTGTCGGTGTTGGTGGTGGTGGTGGTGGTGGTGGTGGTAGTTGTGGTGGTGGTCGTGGTGGTGGTGATGGTTGTTGTTGTTGTTGGTTGTTGTGGGTTGTTGTGGGTTGTTGTTGGTTGTTGTTGGTGGTTGTGGTGGTTGTTCTGGTGGTGGTTGTGGTTGTTGCTGCTGCTGCTGCTGCTGTTGTTGTTGTTGTTGTTGTTGTGGTTGTCCTTCTTCTTGTCCTTGTTCTTGTTCTTGTCCTTGTCCTGGTCCTTGTCGTTGTTGTTGCTTTTGCTGGTGCTCCTGCTGCTGGTGCTGCTGCTGCTGCTGCTGCTGCTGCTGGTGGGGGTGCTGGTGCTGGTGGTGGTCCTGGTGCTGGTGGTGGTCCTAGTGCTAGTGCTGGTTTTGCTGCTGCTTCTGCTGCTGCGCTGCGGCTGCTACTGCTATGTACTGCGGCTGCGGCAGCTGCTGCCGCTGCTGCTGCTGTTGTGGTTGTCGTCGTCGTCGCTGCTGCAGCTGATTCAAGTGTTGCAGTATTTATTCAGCTTTTCCCACAGCCTGTCTCACGCCGTTGTCGCCAGAAATTCATTAATTGTCGTCAACAATGGACAGACAATGGATCTGCCTTTGGTTTGTACTTGTCAGGCGTCGGGTATAAATTGCAAATGGCAGTCCAGGGATCATTGGAGCTGGGCATAGAATCTCTGGAGTCATCGCAAGCTTTTTGTGACTGCAAAAAATTCGTTACCAGGAGGACGACATTGCCTGACACGGCCTTAGCTTTACTGCCAGCATGTTAGGCAACACATGTTTCCGTACCACACGCAAACCACCTGTTTCTTCATGCTCTAGCAGGGTTGTGGACAGGTGTTTGGTGTATGGAGAGCGCAATGACCGGGACAGCCGCATGTCAATGTGGCTAGAATGCGAGAGGAGAGTTCGGAAAGATTCGTGACGAGGCAGCCTATGTGCGGCACACGCCACGTCAGTCAATTATAAACCGGTCTTTCCTGAGCAAATCTAAGGTGATGAATCACTTTCTTGAGCATGTACAATGTGTTGCTCCGCTTCCAGAAATGTTTGAATGATTCAGCTAGCCGAGGTTTGGATGTAGATTTGGAGGACGTACTCCGCCCAGAGGAGCGCCATAGTGGCAAAACTAGCGTGCAAGCAAGCACCACAAATTATGATGAAACTGGGCATTCATGATGTCAAAGCGTTTTGGAGCATGAAGCAGGAGAGGGCGACCGCAAAGGCATGTCAATGATGAACTCAAAGCACAAAAGTTATATGTTTTCCTTTGCAATACAGCCTCACGATCCTGCATGTTCACTGCCACACTGGCATCAAAGCAAACTAGCAACCCGTAGCAGATTTGCACGGTGACCATGCTTGTTGTTTGACCTCCTTGTGGTTGATAGGTCTAAGGAGCAGGTCGGTGGTCACGAGGGGGTACAGGCGACTTGTGTTTTCTTCAAACCGCATGCGCCATCGACGCGTGTTTGGAGATTAAAACCTCAGAAAAAAGCAGGCCCGAAAGCACCGTTGCAGAGTTTCTTATGCAGGTCTTTGTAATTACCAGTGTTTTGTTGGACAGTGCCGCAAGCCCGAACCATCCACCCACTCCACTCCACTCCACTCCACCCCACCCCACCCCACCCCACCCCACCCCACCCCACCCCACCCCACCCCACCCCACCCCACCCCACCCCACCCCACCCCACCCCACCCCACCCCCCCCCACCCCACCCCACCCCCCCCCACCCCACCCCACCCCACCCCACCCC